CATATTCATTCGTGTAAAATGAGCAGTAAGTGATGTGTTTTGTGTAGATGAGTGATGTGGAGGTAGGGGGCGCTACTGTGTTCACTAATGTCGGAGTTGCTGTCAAGCCGGAAAAGGTAAAACCTTAATTTTCTATCTCTGTTTATTACAATGAGGTTGAATACAGTGAATAATATATGTTGGGAAAAGGTAACAAATAAAGTAAAAGAGGTTTCTTATAAAATAATTCACAAATTCTATCTGGCCCGTCATTTTATGAAAAAAAATATAAAAGTGATATCTCAAACTGTTCCTTTTGTGATGCCTGTTTTGAAACTGTTGTTCATCTGTTTTGGTACTGTCCATTTACAAAAACATTATGGAAAAGTGTCTTGAATTTTATTCGAAGTAAAATTTATAATGAATGTACTTTGTATTGGAAAGATGTAGTGTTGGGCTTTACAGAGTATAAACAATCTAAAAGTAAACAGTTGTATGGTGTTGAACTGTTTTTTTTTTTTAACAAATTTAAACAATACCTTTCATGATCCAATTGTCTTAGTACAAAAAGGCTCTAAAAACTTCAACTGTCTGCGGCTCTTTTCCTATTTAACAAGTATATTTTGCTCTCTCAATATGTATTCTTTTACATACCCCCTTTTTATCTGTTTCTTCTTCTTTTTTTTTCATTGATAAGGATAATTGTTCTGCCTATTAGTTGTTATATGTATATATTGTATACACTGTTTATGGGCTTACAAAAAAAAAAACTCTCTGGACAGAAATAAAAAGAAAAATTACAATGAAGTAAAATTCACATCAATCTTCTGTCATTGAAGGGCTCCGCCGTGTTTTGGTACAACTTACACAAAAATGGAGAGCTGGATTTAAAAACAAAACACGCAGGATGTCCAGTTTTAGTGGGAAACAAATGGGGTAAAGTACATTTTACTGGTTTGGATGACTCTTTTTGTCTTTTATAATGTATAAAATATATACTCTATTTCCTTTCAGTTTTATTTGACATTGTGCTAAATATTTATTCTGATTTCAGTGGCTAATAAATGGATCCATGAGTTTGGACAGGAGTTCAGGAGACCCTGCTCTTTGTCACAATGGGAATGAAAGACACTGTAACTTTGTAGAAATCATTTAAATAGTGTGATTGTAGATATCATATGAGCATATGGAAGTACTTCAATTATGCAGCGTGCAATAACTGTAACCAAAGAGAATGTGAACGTTGTTTTTCCATGTATGTATTAAGTATTTAAACTACTGTAGTTAGTGTATTAACTTTTACTGCAAATTATTTATGTTTAAGTGCCAGTCATGTTGAATTAAAGTGCAATAAAGTAAAGTGAGTTTCAAGATATACGTAAAACAGCACATTACATAAAGTGAATCAGTCCTAATAGCTAGTGAGATATTCCTGTATGTTTCACAGAGATGGGTTGCGGCTGGAAGGGCATCCGCTGCGTAAAAACCTGCTAGATAAGTTGGGGGTTCATTCCGCTGTGGAGACCCCAGATTAATAAAGGGAATAAGCCTAAAAAAAATGAATGAATGAATATTCCTGCATGAGGGACTGTGTTATTTTCCGGAGTTGCAATTAAAGCGTATATTGCACATTTTCTTTTCAGTATGAGTAGGAATGATGATTTACATGTTTTATAGGTGTTGGAATTGTGTATTTGTGTAATAATTGTGCTTGTAAGCTGTAATGTCTGAACATGAAGTCTTAAACTTAATTTTTTTTTTTTGATGAACTTCACAAGAGTCTGTAAACATACTACCCAATGTACCTTGCGACACTTTTGTTATTGTTATTTGTGTTTTTTTTCCATCTCATTCATTCATCAATTTTTCTTCAGCTTAGTCCCTTTATTCATCAGGGGTCACCACAGCAGAACGAAACAATCATACACATGCATGGCAAACATCCATACACACTCCTTCACACACATACACTAGGGGCAGTTTAGTTTATTCAACACGAGGAGAACATGCAAACTCCACGCAGAAATGCCTACTGACCCTCTCAGGACTTAAACCAGTAACCTTCTTGCTGTGAGGCAACAGTGCTAACCACTGAGCCACCATGTCACCTTTTTTCCAACTCATAATTTATTAAAAGCTGCAATATCTATCAAATCGATCAGTCATCAGATATGGAAACTAGAAATTTGAAGCTTTATGCAGTTTGTCATTGTCGCTTTATGTTTTGACTACAATATTATGGTTTAAACATGAAAATGTAAATAATACCACAGGCTGCAGTGTGACAGTGAATATGTTTTATTACTTTACCTGAGTAACGGAAAACAAACAGTGGTAAAATGTGTTCAGAAGTCTTATCTTTCCAACGACATTTAGGCAGAAAGTTGTTACATGAGATGAAACTCTCACAGCAACACACAATAAACTATTGTGCAAATGTTAAAGACTACAACTGTGAATGAATTAAATAAACTAACTATTTAAGATGTCATCTGTCATGTATCGTTATTTTGGCCGCATGGTATTATGTTTCATACGTCCTTTTGAATAGATACTGATGTGCATTGAATGTTTGTGTTGCTATAGTTTCAGGCTTGTCTGAATGATTCATTTAGAGATCATTTTACAATAAGCCTTATTTAAAAACTAGACAGCATTTCACATTATCAACTTGTAATAACTTTGAGGTCTGCACCATCAAAAGCTTAGTTATTTTACATGGTAAACCTGTTGCAACTTGGAACTGTTAGGCTGATAACTTCATTCATTAATTCATTCATTCATTCATTTTCTATTAATCCGGGGTCGGAACTTATCTAGCATCTGTTTTACGCAGCAGATGCCCTTCCAGCCGCAACCCAACACTGGGAAACACCCATACACACTCTTTCACACACATACACTGTGGCCAATTTAGCTTATTCAATTCACCTACAGCACATGTCTTTGGACTGTGAAGGAAACCCACACGAAAATGGGAAGAACATGCCAACTCCGCACAGAAATCACCCAGCCTGGGCTCGAACCAGGAACCTTCTTGCTGTGAGGTGACCCACTGTGCCACCATGACGCCACTAGTTTGACAACTACATTTTTATAATTATGCACATAGTTCATTTATTTAATAATTTTAAGGCAACAGGTTTACTAACTTAAAAAAAAGACTAAATTGTGGTATTGCTGCAGTGTTTGGGTAAGAATTCACATTATTACTTTTCTAATACCTTTGTCTGTAAAGTATTTTAATAAATAATTGAATCAGTCGACTCAATGCTGCTTAAAGTTCCCTAAATTGTAAATCTCAATGCATAGACAATAGAAATTAAACTCTGATTTTTTTTATTTAAGTTGAACAGGACCTTTTATTTAGTTTTTTAAGAGAACTTTAAAATGTTAAACATGTGTATTATTTCAGATTTATGACACCATATTTAATACATAGCATATATTGGCATACAGTTGAATTCAGAATTATTAGCCCCCTTTGAATTTTCTTTTCTTTTTAATCATTTCCTAAATGATGTTTAACAGAGCAATGAAATCTTCACAGTATGTCTGAAAATATTTTTTTCTTCTAGAGAAAGTCTTATTTGTTTTATTTCGGCTAGAATAAAAGCAGTTTAAAAAAATTAAACCCATTTTAAGGACAAATTTATTATAGCCCCTTTAAGCTATATTTTCTTTTTAGATCTTGGATAGTCTACAGAAAAAACTATTGTTATACAATAACTTGCCTGATTACCCTAACCTGCCTAGTTAACCTAGTTAAACCTTTAAATGTCACTTTAAGCTGTATAGAAGTATTTTGAAAAATCTCTAGTAAAATGTTATTCACTTTCATCATGGCAAAGATTAAATAAATCAGTTATTAGAAATGAGTTATTAAAACCATTATGTTTAGAAATGTGTTAAAAAAATATTCTCTCCGTTTAACAGAAATTGGGGAAAAAATAAACAGGCTGGCTAATAATTCAGGGGGGTTAATAATTCTCACTTCAACATTTCTCGATCTTTTTTTTTTTTTTCAAATGTGCAGTTGTTGGTTTATTATGTAAGGAAGCCCGTTCCCGCCATTGAATGATAAAAAAAAAAGAATATCTAAAAAAATATATATATAATAATATAAAAAAAAAATTAAAAAGTCAGAATTCCGAGTTATTAAGTCAGAATTCTATAAAATTATGTGAATTATATGAATAATGAAAACATGTTGTCACTCAGTTTTTCTGAACTGATACCTTATATTTTAGTATATAACTATTTTTTGCACTCCATTTTTCTATATGCAAAGGTCTTGATAAATGTGACCTTCTTTAGTTGAAAAATAGTATCATTCTACAAAAAACACACATATACAGCATTACAAAATATTACTCTACTTCTCCTAATGTATTTAGACAGAACTGTTAAATGTAAGTTCAGTTAGGGCCAGTATACTTTATGTAGCACTAATTAAATAACCTAAAACTGAAAAGTAATCTCTCTTTGAGTTTTTCAACTGAAAAGTCATTTTAAGCTACTCAAATATTCATTCATTCATTTTCTTGTCGGCTTAGTCCCTTTATTAATCCAGGGTCGCCACAGCGGAATGAACCACCAACTTGTCCAGCAAGTTTTTACGCAGTGGATGCCCTTCCAGCCGCAACCCATCCCTGGGAAACATCCACACACACACACACTCATACACTATGGACAATTTAGGCTACCCAGTTTACCTGTACCGCATGTCTTTGGACTGTGGGGGAAACTGGAGCACTCAGATGAAACCCACGCAAAGGCAGGGAGAACATGCAAACCCCACACAGAAACACCAGCTGAGCCGAGGTTCGAACCAGCGACCCAGTGACCTTCTTGCTGTGAGGCGACAGCACTACCTACTGCGCCACTGCCTCACCTAATATTAATTAATAAATAATAATTAATAAATTAATCAATAAATAATAATGATAAATAAATTAAATGTGCGTATGAGTGTGTGAGAGAGAGACATATCATAAACCAAACATGTGACCAACAATGCGTAAAAGGTACAAAGACATCCATCTTTATTTAACTATGTATTATCAGACAGATACTTTAGTCTTGGGCAATTAAATTGTTTTACACATATATTCCTTTTCAAATTATTCAAACACCTTCAGTCGTATCTTAAGTTATTAGTGTGACATATATAAAGTGCTTTGCTCTTAACCTGTCAGTAAAGATTTATAAACTATTTATAAATACAACAATAGGACTAAATCTTCAAATGCATGTTGGTCTCTGGAAATATTTTTCTGTCTTCTTTGCTCTCGTGGTTTTTATTTAGCAGTTCACTCCTGTCTTGTAATCCCAGAACTCTGTTGAGCGGCCAATCTGTGCTGTTTTTAACTGGCCAGTTTAAAGATTGGCTGAACTGAAGGGCGGAGCTGACTGGTGACAGGGAGGAGAGCTCTGATAGGTTAATCCCTGAGGGAGGTGGCCCAGGAAAGAAGGGAATCTGCCTTTGGATTGGATGTACCTGGGGAAAGGGGAGGGGTTTAGGGAAGCTGTAGGGCAGCAGAAGGGGATGAGAAATTGACTGCATACTAGCTATAACACATATAGGACACACAGAGAAACATAACATCAGTGTTAAAATATAAATCATAAAGTCTCAAATCAACAATAATTAGTAACACTTTACAATAAGAGTAAATGAATGTATAATGATGTATAATAATATGCAAAAGAAACAAAAGAGTTCATGTGTGAATAATGGCTACTTCAATTACTTGTTAGTGCATGTTGTTAATTAATATATTAAGTTTAAATGTAACCATCATGAACTCATGAGCTGTTAATGTGCAATTATGTCATGACTTTACTTGGAGGGGCACATCACCATTAACTCATCCTTAACTACTCATGTATTCCTGTGTTTAAACTGTTGATGTTTACAGAACACTTTTCTATTGTTATTCAGTGTAAATGCACTAGACGGATGTGCATAAGGAGTTCATGAGTAGTTAAAAATGGGTTAATGATGTTGTGCCCCTCCAAGTAAAGTCATGATATAATTATACAGGAACATTTAATGAGCTCATGATGGTTAAATTAAGCCTTAACTAATGTGGTAATTAATACATTAATTAACAAACAATCATGTGCAAGTAATTAAGGTAGCCGTTATTCACACATGGACTCTTGGAACTCATGTTAAAGATTTATTATTAGCGCATATGTTTACTCATCATTAGTTCACAATAAAGTAGTGTTTAGTTTAGATATTAATACATCATTATTCATGTACTGTTATTGTAAAGTGTTACCAAATAACTCATTACTCAAAGTTCAATCTTACCCCTGTCAATAGAAGAGTTGTAGAAGGAAAGCTGAGAAGGAAAGACAGAGAAGGGGGCAGATGGTGTATTCTGAAAAATAAAATGACAAAAAAATATTATAATTCAGAAAAAAAAGGTCAATAATAATATTGAAAACACTTTTATGCACCTGTGGGCAGGTTGGAAGACTTGGATAGTTCACTAAGATTAGCTTGCTGAAGTTAAACCTGTAGGTAAAACGTTTTCCTTTGGTCTTGTGTAAAATGCGCTTATTATAATAATACCTGAAAAAAAAAAACAATATTAAGCTCCTTAAATATCATAAATACATGCACATGTGGGTTGCTTTTAAAGAGATTAGTTGACTTGACATAAAAAAGGGAGTAACCTCATTGCAAAGTTATTTAAGGGGTATTAATTAAATATTTAATTATTATCTGAATGAACTACACTCGCGGTCAAAAGTTTAGGGTCAGTAGGATTTTCAAATGTTTTTAAATAAGCTTCTGCTCACCAAGACTGCATTTATTTCATCTTAAATACAGTGCAAATTGTACAATTGTGAAATGTTATTGCACCATAAAATAACTGTTCAAAAGTAGTTTATAATTTAATTTAGTAATTTATTCCAGTTATTTTAAAGATGAAGTTTCAGCTACATAACTCCAGTCTTCAGAGTCATGTGATCCTTCAGAAATCACTCTAATAATAATTCTTATTATTATAAGAATATAATATTATTATATTCTTATATATATATATATATATATATATATATATATATATATATATATATATATATATATAAAATATTTAACAATTTACCATTTTTAGCTTTAATAATTACCGACTTAATTAATAATTTAATAGGTTAATAGATCATTTAATATTTTAATTAGGAATTAAAAAAACGCGAAAAAAACTGACAGCAAACCTTTGACATGTAGTGTGTGTTAATAATTTTAAATAATTTACATCAATTTATCATTGCAAAATATATATTTTTGCAGTGTACAACAAGGTAAAAAGCAATCATTCATATTACCCCAAAAAGGGAGTAAACCTATTGCTTTAAACAATTTAAATGGACTTATAGAACTGTTGTAAATATTTTTGTAAATAATACGTTGAGATGACTAGAAAAGTTAATTTGACCCAACTAAAAACGTTTAGACAGGAAGATTTCTTTACAGTGTAATAAAAATGATGCATTTATGTGGGGTTTCTAAATTGTTTGTATGTGTGAATGTCTATCTCTATGGAATTCAAAATGCATGGGTAACAGAATCTGTAATCATAATTTATAGAAAATATTTTATATAAGTCATATGAAGTATTTATTATAACATTACATGCCGAAGCACATAATTGTAGATATCAAGTTAACACAATAGGGCTACATATCTCTGAAGTAAATACATCAATATTGATTTTTTTTTCAATATTGTGACAGTATCGTTTACTGTAAATTTGTTACTTCTTTGGTTTTGGCATTTGTTTCCTTCAATCATTCATTTGCACCCCCATTTTCATTATAAAGGGTTGCCACAGCGGAATGAACCGCCAACTTATTATTGTTATTATCAACTTAATATAGCCAAATTAATTATATGTTTTTTAAAATTATTATTGTAATACTTTTGTATTGGCTTTTGAAATAAATTTTTCACTTTATTTGTTGGACCCCAGGAAGAATAGCCATTACTTTGGTAGTGGCTAATGGGAAACTAAATAAACAGTAAACACAAATACAAAAAAATCCTGTCACAATACAATATTAAAATGTATTATTCTTAAGTAACATATCTGAATATATGTTTTTGCTGGTGTCAGTGGATGTACCTTAAAGCTCTGCTGAGTTTATCATAATTCATGTGTGGTTTGCCCTTCCTCTCCCCCCACAGTTTAGCCAGCCTCTCTGGATCTCTGATCACAAACTCTCCCCATTCGCTGCCCCAAGTTATAGCTCCGCCCTCGCCACGCCCCAAAAGCTCTAACAGAAAGTGCCACAACTGCACCTGCCGCGAGCCCGGAGACCAGGCGGGTTTATACGCCCAGTCCGGAAAAAGCACTGCTGAGGGAAACAAAATTAGCAATGCATGAGGGATGGAAAAAGTAAAGAAACAACTCTGCCAAAACTGTTGACTGGAATGATGCACGGTAACTTCCAAACCGCCAAATTAAAAGACATACGTGAAGATTTATATGCTTAAAAATATAATATGAAAAATGTTTGTATTTTACCAGACTTTTATTTAATAATACTTTTGGCCTAATTGTTTTGCTTTGGCGCAAATGTCAGCCCATGTTTTTAGTTGCAAAATGTCAACATTTGAAGTGGATCAAAATTGTCTTAAGACAAGATTAGGGGTTTTGAATAGTTTTGGGACAACTTTGACGAAACACATTACATAAATATAAATAAATAAATAAATAAATACACATTACATTTACATTACGTTACAACTTTGACAAAAGGTTTGATCTACTTCAAATGTTAAATACTGTAGGTCTAAATTTGCTGTCCCACCATTTGCATATTTATTTTTATTAATTTAGAATATTTATTTGGGTTGTTTTACTACCTGAAGTAAGTTTGAAATGTCAAATAAGAAACAACTGAGACAAGCAGTGACTATACTGTAAATTTACAGATTAAATTATGACTATTTTGTTATCCAACTTGTTTTAAAGTATCATTAAAGGGATAATGTAAAAATGAAATTTCCTCATCAAATTTGCCCTCAAGTGGTTCTAAACTTTATGAATTTCTTTCTTCTGTTAAACATAAAACAGGTTTTTGTGAAGAATGTTGGGGAAAAAAACAGCCATTGATATACATATTATACTGTTAACAAATTTCCTGTACATTAATTTACTATCAGCAGTTTGCCATCAACTGACTGTAAATCAAATTTACAGCAAATATACTGTTATAATATGTACAGGGTTTTTTAGTGTTGGTATTCACAGTGTTGTTTATCTTTACTGTAAAATATACAGTATTTTAGTTTTTTCACTTGTAATATATTTTCATACAATGAAAAAAAAAAGCTTTAATAATAATAATTCATTGTTTATTTATCTATTTACTATAAAACAGCTCAAATGACAGTATTTCCTATGATTGGCCAGGTTTCAAGGTTGTTGTTTTTTTATGTATTTCAATTCACAGCAAATTAAAATTACAGTTTTAATGTAGTCAAGAGGATATTTCCTACGATGCAACTTTAAAATACAAGTTTAAATCACTGTCATACATTCCTTCATTCATTTTTCTTCGGCTTAGTCCTTTTGTCAGGGGTCGCCACAGTTTATCCAGCATATGTTTTACGCATCGGATGCTACGATATTAATAAACAAATAAATAAACATATATTAAAATATATACAAGAGTTGCATTGGATTTGTTAGCTTTAAATTTAATTGAAAATGTCAAATAAAAATGGCTGAATTATTTTAAATAATAGACAAATAAATACATTAATTAATAAAATAAAATTATATTAAACTCTAATAACAAAAGTAAATATTTTATTACTTTTTTGTTTTTTACCTGCATTTCAGTGTGATAACTGCCATGAACAACTGAACATGCACATGTGGTATTAAATTATAGAGCTCAAATGTTTCAAGTAAACACCATTTACTATTTAAAAGGGGATTGACTATAAAAAATCCCTGCATTACATGAACAAATGAACAAACTCATACATAAATACAAACATAAATAAATAAATAAATAAATAAATGAATAAATAAATAAATAAATAAATAAATCATGGATATAATGGTGAAATATTGTTTATCAGCAATACATCAACAGTGTTGCATAATTTGCATGAAATTGGTTTAATAAATAGATTTTTTTATTACTTAAAATGTATAATTGTTTATTACTTAATATATTGCTACCCTAAATTCAGAAACATGGTTTATTTACATAACATTTACATTCATATAACAGAAAGAGTCATAGCTAAATGACACACAGTAGAATTGAAGAGAAAGAATATTTTAAAAGATTAAAAAAAAAACATTTAAATAAATAAATAAATAATTCTGTTTTTGTCCTGGATATAATGATGAAATATTGTTTATCTGCAATACATCACCAGTGTTATATAATTTGCATAAAATTAGTTTGATAAATTGAGTTTTTATTACTCAATATTCATAATTTTGCATTACTTAATAAACTACTACCCTAAGTTCAGAAGCATGGTTTATTTACATAACATTTACATTCGGTAGCAGAAATAGTAATAACTGAATCCCACACAGTAGGATTTTAAGAGAAAGACTATTTTAAAAGCTAAAAAACAAACAATTAAGCAGAATCTACAGTATAAATGATGTGTAATTTACTGCCTTTGTGAGAATAACGTTATCCTGCAAGCCATACAAAACTGTAATCTGATTATGAGCGTTTAAAAATGCAATATACTATAATTATAAGCAATTAATTTTTTGGAATCTTATTATGTAATCAGTTAAACAGCACTAATCACAAACATCACACATATCTAATAGCAGCAAAAAAGAATTTATAAAAAATCTGCACCGCTCTCTTACAAACACACGCACACATTTACTTACTTCTGCTCCAGTAAGTTGAGGAAAAAGGGCCGAGAGAGGAATTACAATTACACTCCATCTGTAAGATATTAATATATTCATCATCCTCTTCATAATCAGCATCATCTTTGCTCCCTGAATTCAATTAAATCTTTGTGTAAAAAAATAAGAAGTCATTTGATTGTAATCCAATTACTTCCAGCGGACTGTCAGTTCATGTCAGGACTGTGTTTCGCTCAATACTTGGATGAAAATATTAGATTTTCAGAGATTTAATTTTAATTAGTCATTCAAAAAAGAAATGTTGCATATTTGGGAATCTGCTGGTGATGTCAGACTATTAAAAAATGGATAAAGAGCGTTTTCAGCAAAAGCTTTACATGCATTTCTCAAAAAAATAATAGTGTTTGTGGTTTTTGTAAACTACAAACTAAATTCTTTGCATTTGAGTAAGTTTACATTACATTACACCATTACTATAAGTTTACATTGTTCATAGTAAACTTATTACTATTACTAAAATAAGTTTGCATTACTAAATTTAATTTGCTTAAATTCAGCCTATATAAACTGTTTTTGTGCTTAAATTGTACTTAAAACAATTTTACAACAATTTTTTAGTGTATAAACTCAAATTATTTGCATTTTAGTACGTGTTTCATTACATCACACTACATTAAAAGACTTTTAATTAAATTCTTAACATACATTATCAGTAAATACTGTGCTGAAATTCAGAGCAACCACACATGCTGATACAGTAGTGTCAATTATTTCCACCTTATATAAAAACATGTAAAGCATACAGTGCACTTCTGAAAGCTGGTGTTAAAGATAGCTGTTTTACCTGTCCGGCAGAGATGCTCAATTCGGAAGAAAGACACCTGTAAAGCCTCTCTCACTATTTATCTTTACCTCTATTTGTCTTTCTTATTTACCATACTATTAACTTTATCCTGATCTCTACTTCTCCTTCTCCCCCTCTCTCTCTTTCTCTGTCACTCCAAACTGACAGAGGAGAATCCAAGCTTTCCTATTTGAGGAGGATGTTTTGTATTGGATGTGGATTTGCCTGGTTTGGCACACAAGAAGAAAGAGAGAGAGAGAGAGAGAGAGAGAGAGAGAGAGAGAGAGAGAGAGAGAGAGAGAGAGATTTGGTTTAGCTAATTGTAAGCTTAAATAATTGATCAGGTTATCTCATTTTACTTTATTATTATATAGTGACCTTTTTTACTTTGCATTATCCTTTAAATTGTTAGGTTTGATCTTTTTGTCAGTGAGTTTTTAATTGTTTTTAATTCACTTTTTAATTATATTATCAATTTTAACTTTCTATGTTAATATTTTAACTTAGGCTCATTCTGAAAACGTACCTCTATATACATTTCTGGAGAGTGCCAAATACATCCCAGGAGCAAATTTTTTTAGCAGTTTTTGTTTTTTGCGAATCCACCAGAGGCTGCTGTGTACACTTTTTTCAGATCTCAAATTTCTCGCACAAGTGCCATTATCTCCTGCTTTTCTCGCGTAAATCCACCATCCGCCCCTGTTGACTGACTGACCGATCGACTGACCCACCGTCCTCCTTCCCTAAATCCAATCAATAGGATTTTAAAAAGCACCAATTGACCAGGACCCACCCCCTTTCCTAACCAACAGTGTTTTGAAAATCAATCCGGAAAAAAAAAGCCCTCACCTATTTTTACCACGTTTTCTGATCTCACCACTTTCTCACCCTGTTATTTACTTGTTTATTTTATTTTTTGGCTTTTGTTGTACCTGCTTTCTAGAACCGTTCTTTGCTGGACTCGAACCCCGTCATCGAAGTCAACTCCTCTCTGTGTCTCAAGTCCTTTGAGGTACATGGAGAGCCACTGGACAAAGTATTAACAGCGGGAAAGCCATCCACACGAAGGTAATCATTTATACTGCCCTGTAGCATTCGTTTTAAAGACAGAATGCAGCCATACATATATGGCTACATAAATCACAATCTCCAGAAGCGTATATATGGCTACGTTTTCAGAATGAGCCTATGTTGCAATATTTGGAAGTTTATTCCACTGTGCCAAGGGATTCAGCTGAAGGAAAATGAATGAATGAATGTTAATAAGTCAAAATAACATTGTAATTTTTAAATAGAAAAATCAGTTACCCTGAATGATGAGGAAATAATATTTTACCCGTATTTGACATTTTATTTTCATTAATGTTAAAGGCTATTTGATCTTAAAGTAGACATTTTACTTGCATTTAATGTTATTAGCATTAATTAATAATAATGAAGTTAGTTTTGGGGGAAGTAATCCCAAAGAGGGATGTTTTTTTTTTTTGACCCATCGGACAAAATGTTGTGTGTTTGCAAATATCAAAAGATGTCATTTATTTTAAATAATAAAGTAACATATTACAAGTAAATTATATCATAAAATATATAATACCTAACCTGAAAGCTTTAAAGAATCATCCTAAATGATCATTTATTAAATTCTTCTCACACCAGGACAAAATAGCATCCTAAAATTCATGCATTCATTCATTTTCCTTTGGCCCTTAGTCCCTTATGTATCAGGGGTCACCACAGCGGAATGAACCGCCAACTATTCCAGCATATGATTTACGCAGCGGATGCCCTTCCAGCTGCAACCCAGTACTGGGAAACACCCATACGCTCTCACATTCACAAACATTCATACACTACGGCCAATTTAGCTTACCCAATTCACCCACAGCGCATGTCTTTGGACTGTGGGGGAGCACTCGGAGGAAACCCTTGCGAACACGGGAGAACATGCAAACTCCACACAGAAATGCCAACTGACCCAGCTGGGACTTAAACCTGCGACCATCTTGTTGTGAGGTGACAGTGCTAACCACTGAACCACTGTGTCACAGCATCACAGAACAATAAGCCAAATAAATATCTTCACTAGAGGTGAAAAAAACTGAGAATTAATAGATGAAAGAATAATTTCATATCTCTGTCTGTCTACACACACACACACACACACACACACACACACACACACACACACACACACACACGAGGCAGTGTGACAGGTGACACCGGAGGCTTTTAATTCCAGTGAACACACAAATTCTGGTCCAGACAGACATCAATAATTCATGCTGTTAATTGAGTTGAACGTTATGCTTTTAGCCGTAGATCTTTAGGTCTGACACACACACACACACACACACACACACACACACACACACACACACACACACACACACACACACACACAGACTTCTGACATTCTGAATACACACATTGCATACAGTAAAGCTATACAAAAGCAAAAAGAGTAAATACATTTTTAATACCACTGTTTTTAGATTTTTGGGCTTTTCATAAAGTGTTTTTTTTTCTAATGTAATTAGCAACAATAACAAAATCACTTTTGTCATACTTTATTAATTTGTGTCAATAGATTTCTATAATGTTACATAATTTTATAGAAATATTTTTTTTTCTCCTGAAGTGACCCTTAAATCTCCACTTTAGCAACACTTAAATATACTTTTTACAGACGGTCATATACAGGTTTTTTGCATCTTTATATCATCAAATCTTTTCTTAAACTATTGAGTAAAATTTTTTTACGAAAAAATTGCCACTTTAAAATCTTTAAATATAATTAAGGAATACTTTGTTCAATGTTAAGTTTTTTGTTCTGGAAATATACGTAAATTAGTACATATAGATTAAAACAGTGTCTGTTTTGCATGTATGGACAAAACACATTGTAAAAAAGATGACTAGCTTATTGTTCAGTCATTCATTCATTCATTCATTCTGTCAGCTTAGTTACTTTATTCATTAGGGGTCGCCACAGCGGAATGAACTGCTAACTTATTCTCAGAAATTGTAATTTACTAAGTAGTTTTAAAAATGTGCACTTTTAGTTTCCCTTGAGTACATTTTTAGTTCAGTATTAGTACTTTTACTCCACTACTTCAACCTGCAGACACTACTTTATTATCTGTCTATGGGGATTAGAAAAATCGTTGTGAAGACATTGCGTTTTGTTCGGAAATGAAAATTGGTTTGACGTCAGAACTCAACGTCAATGTCCAATGTCTTACCTAAAACCTACAGCTTGATGTTGTGTGGACGTTACCACTATGACGTCTATCAGTTGAATTTTGGTTGCCATACTTGACAAATAAATGTCAGTGTTTTAACGTCAATATGATTTAAGATGTTGCCTTGATGTTGGATTTTGGTCACTTTTCGAACCAAACACATATTAATGTTATTTGACATTGCTATTGATGATCAAAATATCGTAGTCCTTAGATGCTGACAAGACATTGAAGTTTGGCCACCTGATGTCATGACCTAAATCTAACCTAATATTAACGTTTTATGACATTGTGTGCCTGCTGGGCAATAACTAGACGCACCACAGAATGTTACGTTTACTCACATATGCACAAATTACATGTAAATGCATCAGCTTTTTATAGCGTAATACTCTTGGGTACTTTTGAAAGTTCTATTTTTTACTCATACTATTTTTTACTCATAATATTTACAACAGATATTTTTACTCTACTTGCACTACATTTTTAAGCAAGTAATGGTTCTTTTGCTTTAGTATGATTTTTCAGTACACTTTACATTTACATTTACATTTAGTCATTTAGCAGACGCTTTTATCCAAAGTGACTTACAAATGAGGACAAGGAAGCAATTTACTCAACTAAGAGCAACAATGAATAAGTGCTATAGGCAAGTTTCAGGTCTGTAAAGTCTAAGAAGGGAAGTATTAGTAGTATTAGTATTTTTTTTTTTGGGTACAGTTAGTGTGATATTCAGAGAGGCAATTGCAGATTAGGAAGTGAAGTGGAGACTAAATAGTTGAGTTTTTATTCGTTTCTTGAAAGTAGCGAGTGACTGTTCTGATGCAGTTAGGGAGTTCATTCCACCAACTGGGCAACTTTTTACACCACTGCTCGTTCCAACAGAATTCCAGTTATACAGAGTTAACTTCATAGTTTCATAGTAGATAAACTAAACTAAAAAAAATTCAGGCAGTAATATTTGTTTTTAGCTAAACTGTGTATATACAGTACAATGCTCATCATAAATGAGTACACCCCTACCAATTTTTCTTTGACTTGAAAATTTACAATAGGATGCTTTACTATAATATATTTGTGCGTATACATAAGATAAGTCAATCTAACAAAACTGGATCAAATCTAACAAAGAAAAACAGTGGCTTTGGTGCATTTCTCACAACACTATTTACATTTGCACAACAGTTAAAGCATTTCTTAAAACAATAAGTCATTTGTGCACATCCTAGTGGCAGTTTCTCATTCCTTCCAACACACTGCAGATCCTTTTGGACATGTATCAATAGCTTTCATACAACTCTCTGCTGTTTTATGTCATGTCAGTCAAAATTAACTAAACTTGTAAATGCTGAATAGTCATTCCCTATAAAACTAATAGTGCTCATTTCTTTACTTTACATACAAAAATGTTGACCTAGTTGTTGAAATCTGCCAAACAAATTTTATTAATTTTTTTAAAATGTTTTTTCCCTGAGAATGTCTTCTAAACTGAACAATTTGATGAATGATTTACAGACCTGTGTTCCAATATGTACTGCAATATTGTTTACAGTTGTGCACAGCTCTACCCAAAGGAAGTTTGTTTGTTGTAAATAAGAGTGTATTTATACTTTTAACACAAAGCTGTGAATAAATTAGACTTGCAAAGGGAAAATGCAGTAAACATGTGAAACATACATATTCAGTGTCTTGTACTCAGATACCTCACTAAATGCAGTGATGTCTAAAGCCTGATTTATACTTCTGCGTCAAGTGACTGGCGTAACCCACGGCGCATGCAACGCGTGTGGTTGTGCATTTATATTTCTGCGCGCTGTCTCTGTTGGTCTGCATTAACACTTCCGAAACGCTAGTTGGCAGTGAGGTGTAAATCTTCCTCTGTGTCGAGTTTCTTCGCTGCTTTTTTTGCGTTTCCTGAACACTTCCGGGATGTACAAGTGGCTCAAACTCGC